GAGGTGGGTGTTGGTCTCTTCTCCCAAGTAACTAGCGATAGGACGAGAGGAAATGGCCTCAAGTTGCGCCAGGGGAGGTTTAGATTGGACATGAGGAAAAATTTCCTTACTGAAAGAGTGGTTAAACATTGGAACAGGCTGCCCAGGGAAGTGGTCAAGTCCCCATCCCTGGAGGTATTTAAAAGACGCGTAGATGAGGCACTTAGGGACATGGTTTAGTGGGCATGGTGGTGTTGGGTTGACGGTTGGACTCAATGATCTTAGAGGTCTTTTCCAACCTTAATGATTCTATGATTCTTTTTAATGCATAAAGTATGTGATGCTCTAAGATCATGCTTTCTTCTTTAAGCTTTTATGAAAGGGACTGTAAAAATATCATTCCTCATGCTCCTTTGAAGATAATAGCATATTTCAAACTGGTAGCTCCAACTTGTCATGTGCAAGGGATTTTGATTAACGAAAAAGATCCTTATGGTTTTTGTTATGGAAGCAGCACTATAGAATTTTTAAACACACCATCAGTTAAAGTAAATACATGGCATGGAAATACTTTCCAAAAAGTATTTCCTCTATAGTGCCTCAAAAAAACTACTCTCCTGACTTTTCTTCAGGGAAAAGGAGAAGCTGATCTTCACAGTACTATACTTATATCCAGAAAATCCATATCCCCAACATTCCTTATTCGAGATGGTATTTTATCAGCTGGAACATCAGAAGGAATAAGAATTAGGTCACACTGACTGTGCTGACCTGTGTTTTAAGCAGTCCAACAATCTTAGGCATGTTGTAACAAATGTCAGCATCTCCAGCTTTGGCTTAATTCCTGATGGAAGAGCAATTAGTAATGAAGACAAATTTTTCACTATTGCAATAATTTCTAGATACGTGCCCTTAAGTATTTGTCTCCTTTTCCTGCCACGCCTCAGTGCCTGTACAGTCAACCGCAAGAGACTGCAGCCATCAGCTGGTGAAAACAAGCAACTGCATCTGACAATTTCAGCAATGCAAGTAATGTCCCTACTGCCTTAGCTGAAGACTAAAATAACGCTTGAGATTCGGAAATGAAGGCGTAAGCTAATTCAAAAATCTGTTACAGGGCAACAGGAGGAATGAAGAATTGTCAATGGACAGGAAGTCACTTGCCTCTTGTTAACATCAGCTTGCAGCTGTAAGCAACTGTTCTAACCTCTGACATGGCTCTCTTAACTCAGCAGATTTCACAACATCCTATTTAATGCTGTTTAGTGAGATAAAAAGCCATAAACTCATGTTCCCACCATCCTGTGGCAGAGTTTCATGTGGTAAAAAAAAGCTTTTATCACTCCTTTCAAGCTTCACTCAAGCCATCCTAACTGATTTTGCTGGATCCTCTTTTGGTTATGACAGAATAGCACTGTAATCACCTTATGCTCCACTTGCCATCACAAGTAGAGCAAAGGGTCCCTAGAGATCCTTCTAAATCAGCAGTTTTACCTCCACAGCTGCCAGTGCTCAGCATAGTCTCTTTTGCTATACTGTCTTCCATTCCACGCAATGCCCAGGTGAGTGCTGTTTCTCACAGGACTATATGAGAGAGGAATAAGGCCATCTTCTCAGCCCAAAGCTTTTTCAGCAAAGTGTGTAGGACCCCTCTTTTTTTACCTACCCCACCAAAGCTAACTTCATTCTAGCGACCATCCCAACCAGACATAGTGTTTACCCCCAAGACCTGGCTCAGTCATGACAATTCACCTACCTTTAGCAGGTGCTGGCTGGATGTTAACAACTGGCTGATGCTTTGGCAGTGGCACAAGCGTGGGAAGAGTCTGAATAATGATGGTTTTAGCTGGGATGCCAATGTTTGCCTGAGCCTCAGGTACAGCAGGCAAAAGGCGTTTGGGTTGTATCGAAGGCCTGGACGCTGTCTGACCACACTTCTTCAGGGTCCTTGCAGAATTATTTGCTAGGAAAGGAAAAAGAGTTAGAGTTGGACCAAAAGATATAAAATAAAGAATTCAAGCAGTAATAACATGGCTTTCAGTATGGGTTTTTTTACCCGTCTATAATAATTGTTAAAAGTAGACATATCAGTAGACATACTACTGTCTGTTAGTTAAACATCCGTATGCAAGACAATACGCATACTATCTGCAGAATCAAAGTAACTCAATCTTTCATACCAGACCGAGAAGTAATGCTGACAGCAGGCTTCTTCCCTCCATCTCCTTCGGGGGATGCAGGGCTTCTGCAGCTCTTGCTGTAGAGAGAGATGGGAGACATCTGGGAGCTACAGCTGAAGTCCACATCATCCTGCAGACAGAAAGTACGTGAGATTAATGCTTCAGAAACACATAAAAGTGTCTACTAGCAGTTCAGAGTATAACAGCCTTTCATCACATCTCTCTTGCTGCTTCAGCAAACAGGAGAAAGGTTTTGTTTTGCAGTTTTATTCTGGTCAATGCTAAGTACCACTGAAAATCAAAGAAGTACCTCTCCTTATCAGCAGAGTGAAGGGGGGCAGAGGCCAGCAACTGCTAGACTTTAGAAGGCATTTTGCTTGGCAACCAGGCCAATACACACAACTGAGGAAACAGAACTGAACATGCTCTTTTTAGAATGGGTCACAGCAGGAGAGGAAGGAAAACATCACTGAAGGGAAGTTGTTTTTGTAAGGGTTGGAAAAATAAGCTGTTTCCTCTTATGTCACGAAGTTGGTCAGACAAGTAAATCACTGGGCTTTTTGTTTGTCACAGCTGGTTCTGAATGACTGCTGCTATCTGTGTTACATGGAGGTTTCTGCATACAGGCACATTCTGCACTGGAGAGTCCACAGACGACGGAGAAGGGACCGAACAATTTGAAGTAGCTGGTGATAAGGGTTCTGTCTTCATGCTTGCATCTGCAAGAGGCAGAAAAGAAATTTTACTGTACAAGTGTTTAACAATGGGAGATCAATAAAGGACACAATGACCTACACCAGCTATTTAATTCCTGAAGCAAGGCACAGCAGAAAACATAGCGAGATTAAAGATACTAAACAGCTTAGCTTGTAGGCCAGTCCTCGCCAGCTGTACCCATCCTACAGAAACACAGCATGACTTCTCATCACAGAGCTAAACGCTGCAGGATATCAGATAGTTTCACATAAGTTACCACTATCCTAAAGTTGTAACAGCTCACCCTTGTAGGGTGCGGGGGAACAGTCACACCTGCAAAATACAAAAGGTAAATTACCTGTATAAGCATGGCCTGTAATATTCCAAAGATCCGAGTCCCAAGACATCAAATCCAAATCAAAATGAAAGTTATAGAGATCATTTTCCTGAAATGACAGTTCAGAAAAAGAAACAATACAAAAAGACAATATACATTGAAACCACCAGCCATTATGTTCACATTCTTACAGCTCTGGAAAACAAAACAATCACTTCGGTTGCCTTAAGGCATGCAGAGATACAAGCCCTTAAGGGAGCAATTCTCAACTGGAATATACAAGACAAGGCTTCTTTTAAAGCTTAGAGCTGTAGGAAAGGAGAATACCAGTTTAAGACCATCACTAATTACTGTACTGTTATCAGTAATTTGTAAAGTGAAAGTTCTAAGTCCAGTCGCTGAACCACCTCAAATAAAATACAAGTTTTAGCAACTTATTGGCATCCTCCCCTTCATCTAAATCAAAAGATTTACTTAATGCCCTTCCATCATCAGATCTCAAAGCACTTTATATACAAAAGCAGTATGAGTGCCAGTTTACCAGCAGGAAAAGAGACACAAGGACTGATTTGCTCAAGATCTGATGAACAGTATGTATTAGGCCTCCCTATACTTGAATAAACCAACATCATCATCTTCTTAAGCCAGGGACACCAGTTTCCTTTTCCAACAGAAAAAAGAGACTAAAAGCACTTCATCTATATTGTTTATTGTACGACCTTTAAAACAGTGATCAGGTTTTTGCTCCATTTTTTGTGCTGATGCAACTGTAAGTCTCAGTTCCCTACTCAAATGTAACATTTTTATGAGCACTTGATGAAAAATATAAGTATTACATACCCAACTTATACAAATACACAGCAAAGAATTTCTCGCTAAAAACTATCCTGCAAACGTACCTCTCTTTACATTCTCAACTTTCCTCATAAAGGGAGGCTCAGAAAATCTGCAGACCACACAGAAATTAGTATTTGCAGGCCAGGATGAAGAAAAAGCTCACCAGAGCATACTTATAGGAAGAATGACCAAAAACCACAGCCTGAGCTGTGCAGTAAGAGCCTCCACACAGGTAACTAATGCTGACCTGCTGATGGGCAATACCCTGCCCTTGTACAAGGCAGCAGTTTCCAAATTTTCTCTAGCGCCTGGCTCTACAACGCCTGTAGGAATGCTCATAGTACCTGAGGTTTATGTTGGATAACCCAGGGGCTGTGCTGGAGGTGGGTTAGGACACAGTGAGCAGGGAGAAAGCAGGGGGAAGAACAGAGAGCAGAGAATCCATGAGGCAAATGCCCCGGGACAGAAAAAGCAGTATGTACAATCGGACAGTGAAAAACATGGGGATTAACGCATAGGGTTGCAAGCAAAGGGTTTAGGAGAAAATCCAAAAATAGACAAGAAGACAAGAAGCCATCTTATAGACAAGGTGATAAAGCACAGCATTGGTGGACACATGTAACGGACCCATGCTTCTCCACACTTCTCCTTTCATGTAACCCAGAAATGCACTCTCCCGCCAGCACTGCCTTGCAAGGGAAGTTTACCTTCATTAGGTCAGTGACAACACAGCTTTTCCTGGATACGGCACCTCAAACTTTCACCTTAACCTTCCCATTTAACCTTGGCTTTTAAATCTCTAGCTTTGATACCGACAGTTTATTAATAGATTGACAACTCTGCATCTCAACAGCTAATGCAGGGGTGAACGGGTGAAGGCCTGTAAGCCACCGGCCCTCCAGCCCGGGAGCTCGAGTGGCTCCTGCCAGACGACCATCATGAAACCCACAGCGCTTCTCGCCGGGGGATCCCCCGCCGGCGCCTCCAGCCCCCGAGCCGGGCCGTGGGGGCACACCGCCGGCGGGGGGGGGGGGGGGGAG